ATCATTCGTTTTTATCCAAAGTCATTCCAGTTCTATTAGTCTGAATCAATCGAAATTTCCTCAAAGAACATGAGATTGAAGGAATATCGAAAGTAACGCCAAAGGAAAATCCCACCGTCTTTCCTACTTGACTTTTTACACCTTAAGAGCAATCAGAGTGTAAATGTTAATGTTTGAAATTGGCAGCTGTCATTACTGACGAGAAGTTTTTTAATTATAATTTTTACTCAGGAGAAGTGCAACTTTAAAGCCTACCTACCCACCCAGCTACTCAATCATCTCCTCTAATAAACTTCAACCAAAGCGAGTTTTGTTTCTACCAGATTTTATGTTGATAAGTGGAACTGAAAACTCTAAAAATATTTTTCCAACATCCACTCTATTAATATAATGTCAACAAGGTACGAACATATTCGAATCAAATATACTATTAGAAACAATGTAGATCAATTATGCATGATTGAGGGATTAAAACGCTTCACATTTCAATAAATTAAAAAGATACATTTGTTTTATTGTTTTTTTCATTGTTTTTCCATTCGATATATGAATGTACTTATTTTGAGTTGAACCTATTGTAAGAACTGTTGAATGGAAAGTTTCGATGGCTTTTGAGTCGTATTAGAATGCTTCTTTTGGTGACCACGTTTTCTGAAAATTATTTACGGTGCATAACTGAGACAACATACATTATTAAGAATTATTTACTATTTGTATTATTTATTAATAAGCAGTGCAATTGAAAAATTTCACCACTATCATGATGAAGCATTAAAGAAATAACAATTCATAAATTGGATTACCTGGTACCCGGCTCACATGAATAATGATTAACGCATGATTAAATTAGCAAAAAACTTTTGGTGAAATAGACCTAAGTTAGGGAAAGAAAACAAACAGTACATTTTTCTTGTCTTAAAGAACAAACATGAACAATTTTCGGAAAAGTTACTATGAGTCAAATAAATTTGGACTGGATTCTGAAATTTTTTTTAATTCTCGCTTTAATGAAATTAAATTTTTGAATAAAATCTGATGATGAAATTCATACAAGATTATTTCAAATTTAGTGGGGGCGAATTCAAGTAAATTAGGAAAAGCTAATCTTTGCACTTTTAACATTGAACGCTCTTCTAATTCACTGGCTTCTTGATATGAATTTCAAAATAACTTTTGAAAAGTCACATGGAACTCAAATTTTGTTAAATATTTTTTTCATCAACGCTTGCACAGTGAGTTTTGACTTTCTGCTCAAATTGTGTTCATCGTGACTTCCGACTTTGTGGACAAGCACCTCAATCAATGTTTTAGTAATATAGAATATAAATTCATTAATATAGATTTCCATTATCGTACAAATATGATTAAATTCTCGCATGGATAAGAATCAAAACATTTCATATAGTCTTTGAACTGTAGCGGTTGAATTCGGTGTACTAACTCTAGTTCTGAGGGTAAATAAAGTTTGATAGCTTATTTATTTAAATAATTTTATAATGAATATCAACTATTTTAATTGGCCTGTTAAATTATTACATTTATTGAGATGTCCAAGTAATCTTGATTATTCAACTTTTTCGCAGAAATCACTTCAAATTGCCAGTCCAAACGATGATAATGAATATTTGTCGGAAGATATACACAAAAGCGCCATACTTTGACAATAACTGTACTTTAACCATATATTAATTTGTTGACATATTATAACACATTGCACTCATTAACCAGTCCCCATTGATTGGTATTTGGCAAACAGTTTACCCGGCCATAATAGTTATTTGACATGTGCTCATTAAATATGTTTAAGTAGCTGTTAGGAACAATTTCCCTAAAACAGAATAAGCAAAATAATTACTCAGATACTTCAAAGGATTGGAATGCAATTATAAGCTTTGAACTTTAATGAACAATAAAGTTCTCAAAAGTGGCTTATATAATATTTTTTTCATTAACCCAACTGAGTTTAAATTAATGAATTTATAGGTAGTATCAGTGTTTGCTATTTTTAACTTAAATTAAATTATACTTATCATTGGTTATGAAACAGGTATCGAATTGAAACTAAACTTGCTTAACGTCCAGGTTTTTGCAGGTATTTTTTAGGCACGAAAGACCTCGATTTGCCCTCAGAAGCATCTAGCCAGTCTATCTGGTACAATATAAACCAGGTCCTGGCATGCTTTCTCTGGAAGTCTCTGAGCTCTGTATATAGTTCCTAGGGATTCATGTAGTTACATTAAGTAGCCGTTCTCAAATGATACATTTATTAGGTCATCAGAATCTCATTGGCCCGATATAAAGTAGGAAATGTAGGTCAAAATACCAACCCCCCCCCCTCCCTTAATTGAGCAGGATGTTAATACCAAATTATTAGTTCAATGAGAAAATAAGATTGTTTCGAATTCAAATGAGATAAGATAAAATTGGTCATGAAATAAAATAGAAACAAGTGAGAATAGCTCAAAAAAGTGCGTAAAAAATGGATTATGAAAAATATGATTTCTAGAATATTTCGCACAATTAGTGGAACACAATCTTTTTCAAAACAAATAAAGATGAAAATGGCAAAATGAGTATAGCAGTAAAAATGAGTGCTTTAAAGAATGAAGGTTCAATCATATATATCATGGAAATGTTAATCAATCAGGCGAAAATTTGGTCACTATTTATTTATTCATAAACATTCCGTGCCAACCATGAAGTCAATGATTTTGTTGAAGACTATGTTGAGAAGAGTGCTTATTAATTTAGGTTAGTCTCTATAGACCAAATCGTAATTAATTAAAAACAGTTTACTGGCTTTTGAATTATAATTTAAAAATAAATAATATGAATTCCTCATTTGGATGGAAGGCTGTAAAACTAAAAATGAGGTAAAGCTTAAAAAGAGGAATATTTGAAGCGATTGTTCATTGTTATTTAACAACCCATCAAATGAAAACTATGTAATTACGTTTACATTTGTATTTCTTTACTCAATGAACAAAGACATCCAACTGCTCATACTAATAAAGTAATTAAAGTTAACATCGCCCATAAATTCAGTGAGCAGGACATGGAATTTGAACGTAGATAAATTACAAATAGATATGGAGAGAAAAGCTGGTTTAAAAATGTTTGCTTTTTGGTAAAAAAACAGATGAGATGGCGCAAATGGATTTTAACAAAGAATAGAGTTCTTGAACAATAATTCTATGAGCACACTTCATCGAATTAAATGTAATCTATCTCAGCCACGAATGCTGTTTTGAACTCCGCTTTATGAAAGATTTTAGCAAACATAACAATAAGATTGATTATTATTCACATCAGTGAACCATTGATAAAAATCAGGTTCTCTCGTTCTATTGAAACTATTTCCATATAACTAACTTGTCTTCACCAATCCCAGGCATTTAAGTCGACCAGTTATTGGTCCAGATGGTATATTTCAATTAATCGAAAAACTGATGGTAAATGATTTAATATTAATTTATATCAAATAGCAGGCTTTATGATAGTTATCATTCGCCCTTTAGTTGAATTCCCGATTCACAGAGGGGTGGAATATCAAAGTCACAAAATTTCGAGAGGGGGGGGGACAGAATAATGTTTTACAGATGTAAAAGGGACAGACAGACACAAAGGTAGAGAAAAGGTTAGGTAAGTACTGTGAAAGTGACTGAATATAACATACAGTCGGGTCACGGTAGTTTGAACACAGAATTCAACTGCCGGTGTATAGAATTTTTTTGCCGTATGAGTATAAGTTGAGTAAACATTACTTGTGGTGTACTGATGACTTCATCCATCAAGATAGCAACTTCCTCATCTCAGCTTGTTCGATAGCACTACGCTTATTGAAAAGGGAACAAATAGAAATTAACGTCAGCCGATAGAAGATATAGAATTAATTAGAAACGTTGCCAAGCAATTGAAAATCCTATAAATTATATTTCAATACATTCTGCAAATAAACTTAGACCATTGTGATAGNCTTTAGACTTTTCACTTTGATGTTCCTCTCCTTTGTGAAGTCTGAAGTCCACTAAAGGGATAATGATAACTATCAAAACGCACGCCATTTGATATAAATAAATTAATTATAGACCCCATTTAGATACTAAAAGAGATGAAGTTATCAAATAGATGAGCATAATATACACTGGAAAGGATAATCTATGATATTCAAAGCCCTATCAACTTAATGTTTGACAAAAAACATCAATAGGAAAGAATGCTTTCCAAAATGGATTTGATTAAAATATTAAGGCAAAGTTTAATCATACCACAAAAATGTTATGCCGATATGGAATAGAATGGATACCACTAGACAGTCACTTAAACCCTTAAAGTTTAAGAAGCTGGTCATCTTCTACCATTGCAAACTAGTCCAGGATGAATGGGAGTCATTTTATAAACCGAAATCTTTTCTCTCAATTCTTAGCTTTCTTATTCAGTGTGTATTCAGTACAAAATTCAGAGAACATGCCAAGGGGATAATATGATTTTACATCCATCGAAGAAATTGAACTATTGAAGTTTAATATAAGAGCGAGAACTTCTGTCACCCATCCCCACCCATCGATTTTATACACAACAAAAGAGTAGAGTGTACTTAGTCTGCAAGCGGAGATAGTACGATCACAAATATTAATTACAGAAATAAATTTAATCTTAAAGAGATAAAAGACACCTTAACAACTGATTTTGGACCAATCGTGCAAGGCTATTCTCCACTTTTAATAAAATTAGTCATTCCAATCAAATTATGCACCGTTATAATTCTCAACTTGGTGTTATTAGATAAGATAGGTGACATTTACTAATTATATTTCGAAAGTCGTTCACTCACTTGCCACTTTCGGTTAAGAGATTTTTGATCTTGTTTCCCATCGTCATCATTATTTATGCTGTATTTTTTCCTCATGGCGACAGTGAATAGAGTATAGCCATTGAGTCGACGATATGATTTCAGTTTCTAAGCAAATTAAGGAAGGAAAATTTATAAATCCGTGATACTACTTAAAATAGCAGTAGTAGTAACATGAACATGCCTCAAAATCCAAATCATCAACACCATCACCTCCACTCTTCATTTTCAATGATGGTGGAATATTCGATGCCGTCGAAGTTTGCTCGCTTTCCAGATTTGGAAAGAGGACGTTGTTTGGGGGAAGGGGTTCTTTAAAGTGCGAAAAAATCGAGAGAGTTTCATTATTTGAGGAAGGGAAAGAAAGCAAGGGACTTACCTTCTGAAGACAAATTAAATGACGGGGTTGAAGGGTCCATTGGCAGAATGGGATGCCTTCTTGTCTCTGGAAGGGACTAAAGTAAAGGAATTTACAAAATCTGAGTGTTATGACCAAACATTCTTAGTCTGATTAAGTGTACGAGTTAAATCCAGCACGATGTGGAATGCATGCATCCTGAAAGCATTATCTGAAGCCAAAACAAAACTTATTTAAATGTCTTAGTAAAATCACTACCTTGGCTTCAATGAATATTGAACATGCGTAAATCATTAATTAATTGCTTTCTATCTAGACCAATTTCTTACTCAAAGGCAGTATTCAAAATAAATTATGTAAGTTTTAGAAAACATAAATTGAACACTTGGGGCACTTCTATCCAATGTCATATAAACCTGAAGAATCACAACTGCCTATTTCTTCGAAACAAGATTCTTCCAAACTGCAGTAACGATAGGAGTTTAACTTGTGATCATTTATTGATTCGACCACTAGGCTGCAATTGACTCAATCGAAGAAATCAGGCAGAACTGGAGATACGACAAGACTGAAAGCAGTTTTGTGTCCGAAATAATTGCAAGCTATCAAAGGAGTTGTTCGCCTACATATTGATAACTTCGTAAGACTTGGAGACAATGAATGGAAAGTGATTGGCCCAGAATAAAAAACACTGAGCTTCAACTCTGTTTATAATTTAACAGCAAACTTAAGAAAAGCCGAAGACCAGAGCTTAAGGCATTACCCAATTGAACAGAGGATACCACAATAAGCAACTCGAGTGTTTCCACCTAAATCCAATGGCATTCGGCCATATTAACAAGCTAAGTATATAAGCTTTAATGATAAATGGCGAAGTTGTCAGACTTCACTTCTCAAGTCACTTCAACATTAACTAGGGTCTGAATAGGCCGCCAAAAGCAAATTCTAGTTCACAGAAACAAGGTGTCAGAGTTGATAGAGGCAAGCTCTAAGACACTTGGTGCATAGAGAACTTAGACCATAAAAGACGTTCAAATTTCTGAAAAGCATTTAACAGACATATCTCCTAAATATTTCACTTGTATAATTGGAATAAGAGCTTTATGAACCAGCAACTTACTGCATCCATTTCAGGAATCTTAAAAGTTCCACTTTGACCCTCATCCCTTCGAGAAGGACGTGAGGAAATCATCGACCCAGTAGGAGACATAAAACCTAACGTCGCACCCTTGCCTTTTCCCTTGGAGCGACCACCTATTCCCGAGTTGGCTTTTATACCCATCCTATCCCCTTTAAATGAGGAGAAGCGAGGTACTGATGTAGTCATGGTGGTACTATTTGATGGCGAGAAAACTCCACGACCAGCAGCAGTTCCAAGAAATGAGTCAGTGGTAGAAGACTGAATTGGATTTACAGGTGATTCGGGTTGTTCTGGCTGGATTTGACGGAGACGACCATCTTCCCAGATTAGAGGACGAGGTTTGACCTGACCTACCCCATAGCTTCGCCTATAGATGGGAATTTTTCCGCCACCGCCACCCCCACGTAGAGCAGTGGCTGGCTGAATTAAGGGAACGTTTGTATTAAGTGACGCAGAAGAGTTTCGATCAACAGGGAGATTAAAATCACTCTGAAAGGAATTTGCATTAATTAACATGGAAGGAAAAAAATTAGATACAAAAGTTCATAAAAGTCCAATTTTAGGACAGGAAAATCGACCGCATTATAATACACGATTTTTTACCTAACTTAGAGAAGATATAACAAAAATGCCTGAACTCCACTTTGACCAAACTGTTTTAAGTTAAAATGTCAAACTCTTGATTTTAAAATAGGTAATAGTTTCCTTTATCTAAATGTTATAACACACATACCATGATATTGAGCCAATGGGCTAAAAAGTAGCGAGCTAGAATTGACTTTTCATAAATTCTAATAATCGTCCCATCTCTCCATTTGTAGACAAAAGAATTGGTAAAATTATTACCATTAAGTAACCTACTAAATTAAAATGCAATATTAAATACCTATTCAGAAAATGATAGTTTTCTATTTGCTTTATATGAGTGAAATACGATCAAAATTTCCCATTAAAAATGGCTTCGATATTGTTGTAATGTATTCTATGGTGTAATGCTGGAAAAAAATGAGTCAATATATTTTAGTTTTAGTCACCGAACGCCTCATATATTTTTTTCCTATTAAAGTCCCTTAAAAATTGGAATATTTATTTATTTATTTCAAATGGCAGGCTTTGTGATATTTATCATTAGCCCTTAATCTTTGACTTCAGCTTCCCACAAGAGTGAGGGGGGTACATTTATAGCAGTTAATTAATAGCAATTCATTAGCTGTCTTCTTGCTTCCCAGTATCTTTGGCTTTCCGTCCTTGTCTTTAGAGCTGGACACCGAATCAGGTGGGTCTTCTCCATTTCCTCATATAGGTTACATAGAGGGCATGTGGGTTGAATGTATACTCCCAATCTGTGAAGGTGTTTTGCCAAGCAATCGTGTCCGGTACGTAGTCTAAACTCAGCAACGGCTTCGATTCTTGGCCAGTCGGGTATGTCGGTGAGTGCCACTGTCCCCTGTTTCTCCTTTGTTCGAGCTTTGAGTTCGTTGTACCTTGNGTCTTCACCAATCCCAGGCATTTAAGTCGACCAGTTATTGGTCCAGATGGTATATTTCAATTAATCGAAAAACTGATGGTAAATGATTTAATATTAATTTATATCAAATAGCAGGCTTTATGATAGTTATCATTCGCCCTTTAGTTGAATTCCCGATTCACAGAGGGGTGGAATATCAAAGTCACAAAATTTCGAGAGGGGGGGGGACAGAATAATGTTTTACAGATGTAAAAGGGACAGACAGACACAAAGGTAGAGAAAAGGTTAGGTAAGTACTGTGAAAGTGACTGAATATAACATACAGTCGGGTCACGGTAGTTTGAACACAGAATTCAACTGCCGGTGTATAGAATTTTTTTGCCGTATGAGTATAAGTTGAGTAAACATTACTTGTGGTGTACTGATGACTTCATCCATCAAGATAGCAACTTCCTCATCTCAGCTTGTTCGATAGCACTACGCTTATTGAAAAGGGAACAAATAGAAATTAACGTCAGCCGATAGAAGATATAGAATTAATTAGAAACGTTGCCAAGCAATTGAAAATCCTATAAATTATATTTCAATACATTCTGCAAATAAACTTAGACCATTGTGATAGGTGCATTTCTTTTATTGACGTAAGTGAAAGTCATTTAACATAGTTTGTCAGATCACCTGTCACATACTTGAAATGCAATTTGGATACCAAAATCTACCCACTTTTCCGAATATATAAGGAATAAATTTTAGTCACCTCCATATTCATCAACCCGAATGCTATTGAATGGGATCATCATTAACCTTATTTTGTATCAATTTCGTTATCTTTGTTCATTTCGTTTTAACATTTAGATAACTGATGCTCTTCGCTATCTCCATGGTACCCAGAATCTGATGCACTGTAACATTTGCCCATCTTCAATCTTTGTAAATACTTGTTCCCAGTGGAAATTGGGTGGCTTCAGCCTTACAGAAAGTAGTTCAGACTCCTCAAAGGTAATGCATTTCTTTTCGTTCTATTAAAATATCTTAATTTCAAAACAAATTATTAAGAGTATCAATTTGGCACATTTTTTTGCTATTTTAGTCAATAAGTTGTCTGCTAAATAGTTGGCGAGCGAATGTTCCAAGTAGAATCTGTGCTAGATAAGAATTAATTTAAAAACCGAATATTATTATTTCAAAATTAAAGCATTCTATATTAAGGGCTATTAAATTTTTGTTTAATTTTCTTCTAATCTGGTTCGCCTTTCAGCGATCTGAATAGACGTTTATACCAAACTCCAAAAATTATTATTTAGTTTGCAAACATATTGAAAACATCGAAATGCTTATCGCACTTCAACCTCCAGTTGGTTTGCCATTCACAAGTATTTTAATATTTTACTTAAGATTTACAAATATTTAATGATTTTTCGTGGTAAAGTGTGGTTTAAAGTGTGAAAGTCAATGTTTTAAAGATCTGTTTTCTCGAAAAAACTTTGCTCTATTCGTCAAATTACTCTCTCGGTGTATAATTTGGAAATTTCTGCTTTACACTTTACAAAATTCACAAGTTAGCGTCTTTTTCTGACAATTTTAAAATGCCAAAAAAAGGGGGTGATAAACTATGATATACTCATTCAATTGATAAAGATGAACCTCTACAAAGAGAAAGGCATTAAAGGGGATTAAATCAACAAATCTCTTGAACTTGTAAATATCTTTTAAACTATCAATTAAATCACTGACGTCTGATCAAAACCTAAAAATAGCTACATCTGCCTCTAATTACAATCCAATTTATGCCCCTACGCATTTCGCCGTCATTAAGAAAATTTAGCTCCCTCTTCATAAAACTGATGGCTAATACCAAAATTCTTACTGGACTCGTAAAGTTTGCTCAGTCCAAATGTGTGAATGGCACGATCAGAGTGTGTGTGTCTAAAAAACAATATATTTCAAATGGTAGGCTTTGTGATATTTATCATTCGCTCTTAAACTTTGACTTCAGCTTCCCCCAAGGGTGGGGGGTACATTTATAGCAGTTAATTAATAGCAGTTCATTAGCCGTCTTCTTGCTTCCCAGTACCTCTGGGTTTCCGTCGATGTCTTTAGAGCTGGACACCGAATCAGGTGGGCCTTCTCCATTTCCTCCTGTAGGTTACATTGGGGGCACGTGGGTTGAGTGCATACTCCCAATCTGTGAAGGTGTTTTGCCAAGCAATCGTGTCCGGTACGTAGTCTAAACTCAGCAACGGCTTCGATTCTTGGCCAGTCGGCGAATTCTAGAAATCATTTGCTGTT